CCCGAGCACAACCCCCGGCCACGCCAGCAGCCTCAGCCTCAGCCTCAGCAGCGTGGAGTACAGCCTGTCAGAAGTGATGGTTCACAGTCCCTCTGTACCAGAGTCTAGTTAGAGGTGATTGACCAACCACAGCAGGTCATTCAGTGGTGGTGACGGTCGATGAAGGAGCCACTGTGCAGACGCAGCGCTACTTCCTGTCTGCGCTAACGAGGGGGAAAAGAGTGAACTTTATCAACCAGGAAGTGTTCATTAATATTGCTGCATCAGAATCGATCAGTCATCCTGGGGAAGAAGAACCTGGAGAAGAAGAGGTGTGTGTGAAGGAGAGTGACATAGGTGGCGCTGTGGAGCAAGAGGTAGAGAAAAATTACTTATTTATCCTTAACTTTCTTTCACTTTTTCCAACAACTTTATTCTGTTTTTTTCTTTTTTCTATGAACTGAGACCTGGAGAAAACCTGCCAACACTGGATTTCTATGAACTGAGACCTGGAGAAAACTGAGACCTGGAGAAACACTGAGGTTGAACCTGCAAACTCCATACACCGGGGGCGCTAATCACCATTGTTTCACACAAACTGGTAAGATTTGTCCAGAGCTTCAGTCAAGTTTGCGTCTATTTAAACCTTTCTGTACCGTTCAGTGACGACAGTTGATGTTGACGTACATCAGGGAAAAGTTTTCCTCATATTTTTTAAGCATACATTGGCTTTTTTTTTTTCATTTTTATTTATGGAAAATGTAGCTTCTAAATCTGTGCTGGAAATATTCTGTCACATCGTCCTTCCTTAAAAATCTGTTTGTGCGCTTTACATTTTATAAGAAACGTTTTGACTTCCTCAGTCAGACGTTGCCCCGGCTCAGGCAGGCTGAGACGGGCCAATCAGGAGAGAGTACTGTATATGGTAAACATGGTGGTACACAGCAGTACACAGCAGTACACGGAGGATACTGAAGCACACGTGTGTCGACTCCACCGTGTGTTTCTGCCTGTTTGTGGAGATTCTGTGTCTGTTTTCGTCAACCTTGCAGTACTTGGTGTGTCTGTGTGGATTCTCGTCCCTGTTTTTCCCTGGCTGTATGGCTCAGACATATGGCAGGTGGGCGTACGGCAGATGCTCCCATCAGTGGCTGTAGCCATGCATTGGAGACTGAACTCATAATGCATTTAAATCAGCAGCACAGGCGCGTCGTTTTGGTCAAAATAGGTGGCTGGCACCGAAGGATGGAGTGGAGG